AGTTTCAGAGGTATCTCTATCAGGCCCACCATTCCGAGGTATCTCCATTAGGCCCATCAATCCAGCATATTATTTCCATCAGGCCCAACAACCCAACGTATGTCCACCAGGCAAACCAATCCGAGGTATGTCCACCAGGCAAATCAATCCGAGGTATGTCCACGAGGCAAACCAATCCGAGGTATGTCCACGAGGCAAACCAATCCGAGGTATGTCCATCAGGCCCACCAATCCGAGGTATGTCCACCAGGCAAACCAATCCGAGGTATGTCCATCAGGCTCACCAATCCGAGGTGTGTCCATAAGGCCCACCAGTCCAATGCATCTCGATTATGCCCACCATTACAACATAAGTCCATGAGGCCCAGCAATACAACCTATCTTCATTGGCTAAACACATCTTTCTTACCAATGCTGAATTATAAACGTGTGTCTTTTTCCTGCGACCAGGCATGATTTGCTTCGTCTTTGGCAAACTGTTTTCTTCTCAGAAAACCACTTTTGCGGTCGCCGTGAAGAATTAACTTGTCTTAAGAAGTTTTCTAACTTCTTCCGTTGGGTTTATCTCTTCTTCATCGATTGACACTATGTGTCATTTACAAAATGTCCAGCGTTTTGAAGTCCCTTAAAAGCTGCAGAGAACTTAGATGTCATCTTAAGTTACCCTCAAAGATGCTTGTGGGCACCTGGCACCCTTGTCTATACTTCATAAATTCCGTTTTTTCCTCTTTTACACACAGAACTGTCAGTGAAAGTGAAGATATAAAAAACAATTCTAAGTTAATGTTCCTGCAAATGACCTGACTCTTACAAATTACTATTTTAAAGGTAAATAGTTGGTGGGAGATAGTTTTTAAAAAAATGAAATTAAATATCACAAAACAGTTCTAGTGAGGATCGTTTTGACTGCATTTTTTATGATGAAATGCTAAATTCAGATTTTTCAGATAGAAAGCAGCACACTTTTATCCAAAAAAATATTGTGAATTGATTTTCCGTCTTAAACTGTAGCTTGTATTTTCGTCAATGTTTCACTTTTTTAAATAAATATTAATGTTTTTAATTGGTAGGAATTCTTAAATGTCTATGTCTTGAAAATATTCATTTTTATAACATATCTAAAGCAGAAATATGATTTCTAAATCTTTATCGCTTGACTTTTCTGAAGACATGACCATGTTCTACAATGAGGCATGATACTGTGTTTAATGATATATGTTGTATTTTATCGATGAATTTCGTATTTTAGTGAACATTTCGTGCAATTCTTGTAAAACATTTCGTTTAATGTCACATTCGTTTATTAATTTACTGTTGTGCCCTTTATGGTGATCCGATGCCTCGTCTCATGGAAATATAAGACATCGAATTTCTTCAGTACATGATTTGCTTCGTGTACAGCAATAATAATTAGTGCGGTCTAACATTCGCCTCATAGTGGGAATGAAACAGCGAGACCCTATGACACGCGCTAAAGCCACACAATCTGTATTTCTATAAGATTGTGGATTGTAGTTCAATCCCCAGCAAAAAGCCTAGACAAGCAGCGACAAAACTGGCACCTCAGGATGGATGGAACTCATTAACCCTGAAAGGAGACTCATCTATGACAAAGCAAACTCTGAAATCAAATCTGGAGTTGGAGTCCCGTGGGCGGTATGACAATGACACAATGAAAAATTCCGAAAACTCCTGCAACGCGGGACACATAAAGAGCACAGTGAGACAAACAAAACAAAAACAAAAAACACTGCTGGTCAGCAGCTACTGCGCCCTGACCTGTTTCTAGTCGTCTTGACTAAGTCTTGCCATTGGATCAAATGGGCAAATAACAGAAGAGAGAGAGGCTGACGAACTGATCAATTCTCCCTGACTTTCAACAACATACAGCTCACGATAAGGCTACTACTCACTGCCTTAGCCTTGGTCATCTTCGCCTTGGTCATCTTGGCTACTACTCACTGCCTTAGCCTTGGTCATCTTCGCCTTGGGCATCTTGGCTACTACTCACTGCCTAGCCTTGGTCATCTTCGCAAGCGAAGGTCGAACATTAATATTATTTTTCCATTGTAGGGCTCACAATTACTCTGTAAGTTTTACTCGGTTTAAGGACAATTCCACAACAGCGCTGCACGTCTCTTGGCGATGGGATACAATTCTGGCCAGGCTGCGACTACTTTGAAAATTTCATTGATGACCATGAATTGGAGTAAATGTTAGTTGGCCAGTTCTCTCGCATTTTTCTCACTAACAACTCTTACTATTATTTTTCAGCACGTGACTTCAAAATTTGCTTTGTAGACCATCAATAACATTCCTGTATTAGCCTAAATTTCTGACCAGAATTCAAATTTGAGCGCACTACCCGCGTCTACAAAAAAAGTTTTGACTTTAGCCACATCTTTAAAATGCTCAAATCTTGAAGTTGTGCTATTTATGTAAAGATATAGTCACTTTTTTTTTATTTTGATCTTTTGCTTTCTTTGGTTTTAAGCACTTTTTTTTTTTTTGCTTTTTTGTTTTTTCTTTAAATTGTTTGCAGTATTGAAAAGTATTCAAGTCTTCTGTCTAAATACCTACCCCCCCCACCCTCCCANTATATTTATATTACATATGTGTATAAACCAAAAGGTTCATGACCATACTATTACTAATAAGAGTGATAGCAGCTGCGGGTGGTTGGGGGGGGGGGGGGGGGGGGCGGGGGGTAGGGCAGGGACGACGAGAAATTCGAATCTTTCATTTGTTTGCTGTTTCCAAACAATGCTTCATCGAACGACGATTTCACCGACCGTTTCCACAGCATTCAATTAGCATCGACCTGTCATCATTCGTCAGGAGCCCCCTGTGTAAATAAGCCACGGCATTTATTGCACGGTAAACAAAGAAGAGCGTGGGAGGACGAGTTAAAATTGCTTACGTAAACTTTTAACTTTAATAAACGAAACAATTTTTGTAAATAAAAATACTTGTTTTAAAGCAAACAGCTGTGTTTGTCAAAGGTGGTGTGGGTGAATAAATTTGATAGCCATCTAGCTAGTTTTCTCCCACTAAGTGTTCACTTTATCTGATAATTTTCCTTTGATGTGATTGTTTGTTTTTTTGTTTTTTGTTGTTGTTTTTTTTCCAATCATAATTCTTTTTTCACCCAGCCTCTAACAACACAACTGCAATTCCTTGACATTTTCAGTTGCTTGGAGAGTGTAGTTAGTCTTGACACAAGCTATCAAAAAACGTATTGACACAAATAGCGCGCGCTAAAACAGTATGCATACTCTTGTCAGATGTGATGTTTGAAACCCCAATTTCCACAGTGATGGTAATTTGCGGATCTACTAATTGTGACGCAATTTTAACGAGACCACGAAACAATTATTATGGTTTGAAAATAGGTTGAACGATTTTTTTACGTCAGGTCAATGACAGTTAAAGGGTTACATTTTGCTGGGTGTGAGTTGGGGTGGGAAAAGGGGAGGGGGGTGTCATTTTTTATTTTAAATATTATTGACATTATTATTTTGTGTGTGAATATTTCGCATTTTGATTAAACATTGGTTGGTTTATAAGAACCTAATTTAAACAAACAAGATAATTGCATTTTGACACAATAGTAGTTTTTTTTAAATACTCAAACTTTTAAAACCTTTTTGAACTTGCAGCAAAATTAAAGTGGGCTTGTAGTAGATTGCTGAATTGATTCCTGGTTGGCCCATTACTTCTTAACCCAGGTTCAGATTCCATCTGCTATTATAACGAGACGTATTTAAGTGGGAGCTCTACACCGTGCTCGGGATGTCTCACTATTTCAATGGCATTCTCTTTGAGAAATAAACTTGTTGTTCGTTTGTATTTTATATTTTAAATCGTAAATGTCTGGAGATGAAACTTCTTGGTGAGTTTTTTGTTTGTTTGTTTGTTTGTTTGTTTTTTGTTTGTTTGTTTGTTTGTTTGGTTGATTGGTTTTTATTTTTGTTTAGATATTCTTTATTTAGAAAAAAAAAAGGGTTTATCAGTTGAAGAGGAGAAAGTTGAAGACACGAGCTGGCGGAAGCTCTGTCTTTAGATTTTACCAGTGCCGTGTGAAAAAAAAAATGTGTGTGTGTGTGTGGGGGGGGGGGGGTTGGCATTTACCCCAGGAGCCAACATTCAGATACGATCTTGAAAGTAACTTAAACGCTAAAATCCCATGTATTAAAGAGAAGGGGGGCTCCAAAGTCATCTTTTTGCACGTTCTCCCCGACCGACACTTTTCATATGCATATAAATAGACATATACAGTGGAAGGTGCCATTATCACGCTTCGTCACGAGCACCGGATGCCCTCGGCTCGGCCTTTGTTGTTACAACAGTTTCTTAAATGTACGAATAAATGCCTGAGCCATCCCATGTCGTAACACATTATGTCGTCATTATTTTTTATTATTATTTTAAAAAAAATATTTTTTTTTAAATTTCATATTTGAGGGCCCACGATCAATTTATTGATCATTTTGGGTCCAGGTTTGAAATTCAGAGTTTGCCTAGATGAGTTGCCGCCCAAGGCTAACGGGTCCCATCCATCCGGATGTTTTAATGATAATTATTTCCACGTAAAAATCATTCTTATACCACTCGGTGTATTTATACTATCTGGCCTAAACAAGTGATGACATTTTTTTTATTCCATGTAATTGATTTTGTTATTTTACGTATTTAAAAAAAAAAACACGCAAACTTGGTAGGGAAGAAAATTTCATTACCTTTTATTTATTTTTAACAACAATAGACCTACTTGCTGTAAACTTTAAATTTCCGAAATACTCACAATCGTATTTAATCTGATGCACCCACTCAAAATTGTATAGTCATTGCAGTAAAAAAAAACATATTTTTATTTTAAACAATCTCATTTTAATATTTCTTCGTCGTTTGCAAATATTTTGTTTCGCAGATGACATGTCGAAGGACAAGACATCACAGAAATAACGATTTATTGCTTTGACAGTTGTGAAACAGACATGATGAACTGCACAGACCTGACGTTCCCAAGATCAGAACTTTCGGAAATATACGGGGAAACAGAGGACAACGATGTCAGCAGCAGCGAGAGGCTGGTCTTTGAAATCGTCAACGAGGTCAGTCTCGGGGCCGCCGTGGCGCTTTTCGGCATCGTCGCCAACGTGGTGAACCTCCACATCTTTGTCAGGCAGGGGCTCTCGACCACGGTCAACATCGTCCTTTTCGGTCTGTCGGTCTCGGACCTGTGCTGCCTGTTTTGCCTCTTGTGGTTCGGGATCTGTAAAAATCCTCTGGCCACCGAGGCTTTCCGTTTCGGCCAAGGGCTGTGCTACCTGACGGGCGGTTGGACCCGCGGTTATTTTTCCCGCGTGACCGGATGCATCACGGCCTACGCCGCCGCCGAACGCTGCGCGTGCATCACGTTTCCCTTGACCTACAGACGTCTGCTCAGCCCCGCCAGGACGTGCCTCGTCGTCAGCCTCATCTACCTGGTCAACGCGTTGCTGGTCGTCCCCGAATACAACAAGGCTTACATCGGCTGGACCTTCAACCCGCTGGTCAACAGGAGCGTCATCGACCTGCACGTGACGGTCGAATGGAAGCACATGGACACGGTGGCCTACGTCATCAACGCCGTCTTCGCTTTTCTCATTTTCGTGACGGTCATTCTTTTCACGGCGGTCCTCGCGTTCAACCTGCGGAGAACGTCAAAATGGCGGAGGGCTGCTACGTCGGGTCAATGTCGTTCGTCGAGCGTATCCGGTCGAGACACGAGGACCACGAAACTGATATCTCTGATCGCTGCTTTGTTGATTCTCAGCAATGCCCCCGGGGTGGCGATAGGCATCACAACGTTCGTGGTCCCTGAATTCAGCGTAGGGGGGAAGTATTACAATTATCAGCTTGTCACGTGGACTTTCGGGAATTTGCTCGAGTCGGCGAACTCGGGGTTCACCATTTTCATCTACTACACCATGAGCAGCAAATACAGGAGACTGTTTGATCAGATCTTTTGCAACAGTAAAGTCAAAGCTCTTGACAATGAGGAAAGCAGTGTAAATTAAACTCTTTTTTTAACAAATATTTATTATATTGACGAACAAATAAATGAATGTAACATTTACAAACTGAAACGAAAAACACAGTGCAGTTTGATTTTATATCGAACTTGTAAGCACCATTCTGGAGGTGTCCAATTTTTTTAAGCGCCGTACTGATGTTTCGAACTTTTAGCGTCAGGTCACATGATCAAATTATCCTTCAAGCGTGAACGTGAAAAAAAATTGATTTATAAACCAAGACATAACAATAGTGGCGGTCATACATACACACATAACAATAGTGGCGGTCATACATACACACATAACAATAGTGGCGGTCATACATACACACATAACAATAGTGGCGTTCATACATACACACATAACAATAGTGGCGGTCATACATACACACATAACAATAGTGGCGGTCATACATACACACATAACAATAGTGGCGGTCATACATACACACATAACAATAGTGGCGGTCATACATACACACATAACAATAGTGGCGGTCATACATACACACATAACAATAGTGGCGGTCATACATACACACATAACAATAGTGGCGGTCATACATACACACATAACAATAGTGGCGGTCATACATACACACATAACAATAGTGGCGGTCATACATACACACATAACAATAGTGGCGGTCATACATACACACATAACAATAGTGGCGGTCATACATACACACATAACAATAGTGGCGGTCATACATACACACATAACAATAGTGGCGGTCATACATACACACATAACAATAGTGGCGGTCATACATACACACATAACAATAGTGGCGGTCATACATACACACATAACAATAGTGGCGGTCATACATACACACATAACAATAGTGGCGGTCATACATACACACATAACAATAGTGGCGGTCATACATACACACATAACAATAGTGGCGGTCATACATACACACATAACAATAGTGGCGGTCATACATACACACATAACAATAGTGGCGGTCATACATACACACATAACAATAGTGGCGGTCATACATACACACATATAATAGTGGTGGTCATACATCCACACATAACAATAGTGGCGGTCATACATACATTGCATCAAAAGCTGGAAGGAAAATTTGATCATGTGAACTAACGCCTACACACCATTCTTTCGCCAATTAACTTTTGTAGGTCTACTCCATTATGCAACCATAGTTTATTCCCATTTTTTAAAAAATAAGGAATTGTGATGAGTTATTGCAATAGCAGGTAGAAATTATCGTGCCTACTATTATTATCAAGATTACATCGGGTCATATATTCGTATATTCATATATTATTTATATATATTATATTATTCAATAATTTTAGGCTTCGCGACGTTCAGATGTCAAAGTAAATTAAAACTCACCACAATGTTCATATGTAATGAGCAAAGCTATCTTACGCACCGCACACATAATGTGTGTGCACCAGTCAAAACTTTAATTGAAAAAGTTAGCCGCAGCGCAAAAGCATGCCATTTATTCAAGAAAGAAACGAATTTTGGCCGATGTATGCAAACCTGAAGTCTGAAACAAATATTTGACCTAGCCTATTTTGATTCTGTGATAATAGAGAATATCTTTGCATAATTTCAGCTCACTTTGTCCAACATATATTAAGCCAAAAACAAAATTATATCAAATGATCCTTCCTTTCACTTAATCTTTTCCTAATTTAAAAAAAAACAAAAAAATGTTTATCTTTATAATGTTGTTTATAAAATAAGTGGACAAACCCTGCAATATGCAATCGTCTAACAGCCATTCACTAACTAATATTATTCAAAAACCGTTTGGGGGGGGGGGGGTTAAGAGGGGGAGATAAATTGCTTAAATATGGACTTTGTTTCATTGGAAGTTAACAAATATTACCAATCATAAAGTTATCTTTCTGCTTTAGAAGTCGACCATCTATTGTATAGGATGTATTTGAATTATAGTATTTGAACAATAGAGGTGTTATACACTAAAAAAAATAAAGGTTAGTCTATGTTTACCATTTTCGAAGTATTTATTACTAAACTAATAACAACAACTTTTTTCAACTATTTTTAAACGTTTACACTCAGTATTCTTAGGCAGGCTGGCACTGAGTCACATTAAGTCACTTAGTCACAAGCTGGCACTGAGTCACATTAAGTCACTTAGTCACAGGCTGGCACTGAGTCACATTAAGTCACTTAGTCAAAGGCTGGAACTGAGTCACATTTAGTCACTAAGTCAAAGGCTGGAACTGAGTCACATTTAGTCACTCAGTCAAAGGCTGGAACTGAGTCACATTAAGTCACTTAGTCACAGGCTGGCACTGAGTCACATTAAGTCACTTAGTCACAGGCTGACACTGAGTCACATTAAGTCACTTAGTCACAGGTTGGCACGGAGTCACATTAAGTCACTTAGTCACAAGCTGGCACTGAGTCACATTAAGTCACTAAGTCACAGGCTGGCAATGAGTCACATTAAGTCACTAAGTCACAGGCTGGCACTGAGTCACATTAAGTCACAGCCACTTAGTCACAGGCTGACACTGAGTCACATTAAGTCACTTAGTCACAGGTTGGCACTGAGTCACATTAAAGTCACTAAGTCACAGGCTGGCACTGAGTCACATTAAGTCACTTAGTCACATGTTGGCACTGAGTCACATTAAGTCACTTAGTCACAGGCTGGCACTGAGTCACATTAAGTCACTAAGTCACAGGCTGGCACTGAGTTACATTAAGTCACTTAGTCACAGGCTGGCACTGAGTCACATTAAGTCACAACCTGGCACTGAGTCACATTAAGTCACTTAGTCACAGGCTGACACTGAGTCACATTAAGTCACTTAGTTACAGGTTGGCACTGAGTCACATTAAGTCACTAGGTCACAGGCTGGCACTGAGTCACATTAAGTCACTAAGTCACAGGCTGGCACTGAGTCACATTAAGTCACTTAGTCACAGGCTGGCACTGAGTCACATTAAGTCACAACCTGGCACTGAGTCACATTAAGTCACTTAGTCACAGGCTGGCACTGAGTCACATTAAGTCACTTAGTCACAGGCTGGTGTCGAGTATGAGCGTTCATTAGTAATTGTTGCGATTGAATATTATGTTCATTAGTTGTTGAACGCTTTAATCGCGCTTAACTATTATAGATAGTGAACGCTCTTCTCGCCATTGTCTCTATGACGTATTTTTATGCTGATTCGTGACGTATTGTCTATGCAGTATTGTGACGTATGTTATAGTCGTGCAGGCAGTCTTAAGTGGAACTTTGGAGTGATAGGATGTGTATTATTTAGGTCTGATAGCGAGCTGCACTATATTCATGTGTGTATTATATTTACTTAGACATTAAAGTTATAATTATTATGAAAAGGAGTTGAGTTTGTTCAATGATAGTAGGAATAGTACGACGCTTCAACGTGTGAAAAGAACTTGACGAATGTAATCCATCCAAGAAGACTGTAGGAGTTGACAGCTGGCACTGAGTCACAATTAGTCACTAAGTCAAAGGCTGGCTCTGAGTCACATGTAGTCACTAAGTTAAAGGCTGGCACTGAGTCACATTTAGTCACTAAGTCAAAGGCTGGAACTGAGTCACATTTAGTCACTAAGTTAAAGGCTGGCACTGAGTCACATGTAGTCACTAAGTTAAAGGCTGGCTCTGAGTCACATGTAGTCACTAAGTTAAAGGCTGGCACTGAGTCACATTTAGTCACTAAGTCAAAGGCTGGAACTGAGTCACATTTAGTCACTAAGTCAAAGGCTGGAACTGAGTCACATTTAGTCACTAAGTCAAAGGCTGGAACTGAGTCACATTTAGTCACTCAGTCAAAGGCTGGAACTGAGTCACATTTAGTCACTAAGTCAAAGGCTGGAACCGAGTCACATTTAGTCACTAAGTCAAAGGCTGGCAATGAGTCACATTAAGTCACTAAGTCAAAGGCTGGAACTGAGTCACATTTAGTCACTAAGTCAAAGGCTGGCAATGAGTCACATTAAGTCAACAAGTCAAAGGCTGGCAATGAGTCACATTAAGTCAACAAGTCAAAGGCTGGCAATGAGTCACATTAAGTCAACAAGTCAAAGGCTGGCAATGAGTCACATTAAGTCAACAAGTCAAAAGCTGGCAATGAGTGACATAAAGTCAACAAGTCAAAGGCTGGCAATGAGTCACATTAAGTCACTAAGTTTACCCATTCTTTAGAGTCAAAGACTTTTCCTGAGTCACATTTAATCACTAACACACTTTTATAGGGATAACATAAACTTAGTCAATTGACTAACAATATGCCAAATTAACGAACTTTTAGTAAAAAAATGTAATTGTTGACAGTTGAGAGTAAATTTGATTGAAAAGTCAACAATATTCTAACAATTGTTTAGCTGTTTATGTTTGCATTACTTTTTACATACAATGACCTTGGGTATGAGCCTATGAACTTGACCAAGTAAAGGGGGTTTTGGCCTCCACCATTCGGAGGGGGGGGGCAGACGCCCCTGAGGAAAAAAAAACATATTTTTGTGATATGGATCAAATTATATACTGTTTTGTTAAGTATTTAGCAATTAAGCTTTTCACTTTTTCAGTAAACATTTTACTGGTTTTCAATAATAAGTTAATTAATTTTTTTTTTAAACACACAATCACGCAATCATATGTTGGACGGTTAAATGAAAGACCTGAAACGAACCTCTATTATCTTTTTGTGAGTGATGTCTGTGAAATCATGTCTTCACAAAAGATGCAGCGTACCAATTGTACCAATTTGACATTAAAATGTGTTCTACTATTTCATTCATACAGCTTGAAGAACTCAGTCCTTCAATTTTTACCCATTTCACAAAGGTTTTCTTAGCATTTGTATTGTCATCAAGCTAGAAATTAGATTTCTTGGTCGTTAAGTTTAGTTTCTTCATTTGTAGCAATATCATTCATGATACTCTGACTCTGCTC